TGTCAAGCTCCAAGGCAGACAAGCTTCCCTCCTCTACAAAGTCCCTGAGAACTCAGCTTTGAGCTGCTCCTGAGGCAGCCTAATGTCCTGCACGTGTGGCCCAGAGGCAATGGAGACCACCTGGAGCCGCCCGCCTTCCTCATTCCCAGCTGGGACGACAGCAGAAACTGAACGCTCTGAGCTAGGCCAACACAGCACCGAGAGGGGCAGAGTTCTGCATCTCATTCTGCGTATTTTAAACATGCGTCTGAACATATTTGTAACAGAGGAGGCGAAAATCTGTGTGCACTACTGGATTCTCACGATCGTTTTACTGGGCTTGTTTTGATTCCTATATCTCCATCTGAGAAACCAGGTGCTCTGCAGATAGCAGTCTGATTTCTGAGGCTAGGGCTGCCAAATAACGTATTGACTACCGCGGAAATTTGGAAGTTCAGATAAATAAGTTTTTAGTTTAAGTATGTTCCAAATACTGCATGAGATGTCACCCTGTAGTACTTAAAAAAAACAAAAAACTCACACTCGTACTTCAATGCATAAAAATCCTCTAATAAAGAGACCACACTCACAGGATTCCACACACGCACGCCTCGACACCCCCTGCCGCACACCCATTTAATTTAGAGGAGAGTCCAAGACACACCAACATACCTCACCCTCAGTCCTGTTAATAAAGCAGAGGAGTCTTGGGTGGCTGCCTGTTTCCTTGCAGATTCGAACAGGAAGGTGGTTCAGGGCCCTAATCAGAAGCTTCCTGGCAGAATGAGGGCTTGGCAGTGGCTTCACCTGCCAAAAAGCTACAGTGCAGGGTGTGAGGCTACCATGCACTGCCCCTCCAAGGGCTGGGCCTGTTAACTCCAGAGCCAGCTTCCCCCACATCTGCACTCCCTCCTATGCAGGCCTGAGCTCTCTGCCCCTGGCTCTCACCTGCCGCAGGAGGGCGCTGGAGAACGGGCCTGAGCAGAGACGCAGGAGCTCCTCTGCAGGTCCTCCCAGGCACCACCCCTTCTGGGAGGAAGGCTTGGGAGTCCCCTAAGACAGATCATCAGTCAGTTCTCTCTACTTGTGACTCAGGAAGGCCAGGTCCCCCGACTACCTTCTGTGCTAGGGATCACTTCCTTGTCGAGTGGGACCTGAGTTTTGAGAGGGGGTTTTGCTCCCCTTCATCTGGTCCCTTTCCTTCCAAGGCCCCAGAGAGGAAGGCATGGGGTGGGCCCTAGCCCTGCTTCTAGCATTCCTGCCTCCTGGTGAGTGTGCGGCATACGGAGAGGCTCACAGGTTTTGTTTGTTTCTTTTTTTGCAGGGGGTACCATGCTAAGGAATACCTCATTATATTTTGTGTAGTTCCCATTGCAGCCAGTCAGATGTCTTCCAACTTTGAAGGGAGAACAAAGTCAGTCACCAGGACGACTAGGTCATCTGCTGTAATCACCTGTGGTCTTCCTGTAGAAAATACCAGATACATCCACTGGTACCTCCACCAGGGGGAAAAGGCCCCACAGCGTCTTCTGTACTATGACACCTACAACTCCATTTTGGATTCAGGAATCAGTCCAGGGAAGTATACATATGCAATCATGAGGGGGAGCTTGAAATTGAGAGAGCAAAATCTAATTGAAAATGATTCTGGAGTCTATTACTGTGCCGCCTGGGACAGGCACAGTGGTTCAGACCTGCCCTACACCACACTGAAATCTGCCTTGTGGCTGCTTAGCTGCCCCTCTCATTTCCTGCCACCGAATTAACTGTATTCTGTACAAAGAGAAACACAGCTTCACTCCCGATCTCCCCCTAATATCACACTCCCCTGGCAGCAGCCGCACCTGTTCCCCACCCCTCCCCCAGGACCTTCCTGAAGACCAGGCTGCCGTCTCCAGGCCTCAGCTAAGCAGCCTGCCTGAGAGCAAGGTTCTCTCAGCTCTCCTGGGACACAGGGGAGGCCCACTCACTCTGCTTCCTATACAGGGACACCTAGGGTTCAGCTATAAAACCAGATATTTTGGACAGCAAATGGGAAGGGTATTTATACTGAATTATGTATCCAATCATGGTTTAGAGATTGCAGCTTAGAACGGTGCCCATCTCTTGTGCCTATAACAATGTGAGCAATACTACAATTACCACTACATTACTAGGCCTATGTATGCAGTTAAGCATTCTCTCTCTCTGCCGTCCTTTTATTTTCTCTTTCTACTTTCTTGGTTATTTACTCTTTTTCCACACCTCCATTCCCCTCCCCTCCCCTCCCTCCCTCCCTTCCTCCCTACCGACTTCTCTCCCTCCCTACCTATCTCCCTCGCTTGCTTCCCATTCCCTCCCTCCCTTCCCTTCCCATCCCCTCCCTCCCTCCCTTGCTCTGACCTGCCTGCCTGCCTTCCTTCCTTCCTTCTTTCCTTTTCTCCTTCTTCCATTTTTGGGCACACAATCAGAACACTTTTTCAATAAAATCATCTGGAATAATTATCTACATGCTCACAGCAACTGTGATAAACCTGGTTTATTTGCTCTTTTTTTATATTTTGAACATTTGTTGTACTGTTTTTATTTGCATATGTCGAACATTTACATAAAACTGAAGCCAAAAATTATAAAACAAGATAGATTTAGAGATTTCAGCTTTTATTCTAGAATTCTCTTTTCTCTTCTTTCTCTTACCCTATAGGTAGCATCTTTCTCAGTTCCGGGGAACTTTTTCACGTTTTCTTATTTATTGAGAAGCCTATCACTATTTCAGAAAGACATCTTTTGTTTGTCGTATATACAGCATGCCTTGTTTCTATTTGAATGTCATTTTTTTTTTTGCTGTGATAATCGGTTTTTATACATTTTAATCAATGTTTCATTTTCTGGTGTCTGGATTTTGTGTCTTACTTGGAAAGGTGAACATACTTCAGAAGTACGCACGAAGAAATTCATATCATTTTGTTAATTTTTTTCATGAATTACTTGATATTTATATGATCTATCTGGAATTTTTATACAATAGTTACTGTAGTAATAATAACACTAATGGGGATATGGATACTGACTTTCTTCACAGAAACCTTATTGACGGGTTAAGTATCATTGAATATAGCTGATGAGAAATCGAGAGGTTAACTAGCATCCCCTAAGTCATATACTTTAATTTGTTAGTGACTTCAATCCAAGCTCTGGGGTTCAGAAAAGGAGATTTGCACATTCAATTTGCATTTTCTTATTGTTATGAATACTAGCATTATTTTACAGCTTTATTTATGCATCTTTTGTGAATTGCCTTTTAATACTCTTTGTCCATTCTTCTGCTGAGGTATTAACTTTTTCTTATTTGTTTGTGAGAATTAATATTCACCGTTTTAGAGATATTGATCCTTTATCAGACATGTGGAAAATATTTCTCGTCATTTGCTGTTATTTATTTTTGGCACCATTTGGTGAACTGAACTTTGTATATTACTTTTAATAAAATCTGTCAATTTTTCTAGGGTCTCTATTTTAATGTCAGGCTCAGAGAGACCAATGCCACCTGTAATTCGTGTGCAATTCATCATCATTTAAGTCTAATGATTTCCTGCTTTCAGTTTCCTTACAACTAAATCTCTATTTGTACCTTTTAAGTTAGCAGCCCAAGAATATGTGTTTCCATATGGTAAGTCAATTACCAAAGGAGAATATATTAAATAATCAAGTATTTTCTTGTGGATATTAGTGAACAATTTTAGGACATGATAAAATACTACATTCCTGTGGCTGTCTTTCTGGCCTTTCCACCGTGTTCCATGAAGCTTTTCATCCTAGGGCCAGCATTGGCCTCCCCTCAGCACGGTAGCTTTAGAGTTCATTTTACATTCTAGTGAAGTTTGCTTCTCTTATTACTTTTTTTTTTTGTTTTAAGGATTTTCTATGCCTTGTAATGTGATGGCAATTCTCTCCCTTCTCATTTTTAAATCATGAGAGTTCTGTCACAGGCAGGATTTTCCAGGCTCCAAGGCAGGTGAGCTTCCCTCCTTCACAAGGACCCTGAGGACTCAGCTTTCAGAGCTGCTCCTGCAGCAGCCTCCGGTCCACTTGGTCCAGAGGCAGAGGGAGACCATCCAGAGCCCCAGCGTTTCTCATTCCCCGTGGTGATGACAGCAGGAACTGAATTCTCTGAGCTAGGCCAACACAACAACCGAGAGGGACATTGTTCCACATCTTATTATGCATGTTTCAAACATGTTTCTAAGCGTATTTGTTATAGGAGCGGTGACACTCTGTGTCTGTACTCCTGGAACCTGGCACTTATTTTACTGGGCTCGTTTTATCATCTGTATCTCCATGTGTGAATCCAGGTCCCCTGCAGATCTCAGGTCACTTTCCGAGGGTACGGTTGCTAAATAAAATACGCAATACCCGGGAAATCTGGAAGTTCTGTTAAATAACAAGTTTTCAGTTTAAGTATGTCCCAAATACTGCATGACATGGCACTGTGTACTACTTAGGAAAAAAAAAATTTCACTTCTACTTCATTGAAAAGAAATCCTCTAGTAAAGAGATCCCATATATGGGCACCGCCCCAACACACAAACTCACACAGAATGACACAAACACCCGCCCCACCCCACACCCCCATTTATCTTACAGGGAAGTCCAAGACCCATCAAAATAACTCACTTTCAGTCCTGTTAATAAAGGAGGTTCAGGCCTACTCGGAATATACCTGGGTGTTGCCTACACTGTCCTCACAGATGTAAAAAGGAAGGCAGTTCAGCACCATAGTCAGAGGCTTCCTGGCAGGCTAAGGTCCTGATATTAGCATTAGCTGCTGAAACTCTGAAGGGTATGGTGTGAGCCTGCTGTGCACTGCCCCTCCAAGGGCTGGGCCTGTTAACTCCAGAGTCAGCTTCCCCCACATCTGCACTCCCTCTGCTGCAGGCCTGAGCTCTCTGTCCCTGGCTCTCACCTGCCACAGGAGGGCGCTGGAGGACGGGCCTGAGCAGAGACACAGGAGCTCCTCTGCAGGTCCTCCCAGGCACCACCCCTTCTGGGAGGAAGGCTTGGGAGTCCCCTAAGACAGATCATCAGTCAGTTCTCTCTACTTGTGACTCAGGAAGGCCAGGTCCCCTGACTACCTTCTGTGCTAGGGATCACTTCCTTGTCGAGTGGGACCTGAGTTTTGAGAGGGGGTTTTGCTCCCCTTCATCTGGTCCCTTTCCTTCCAAGGCCCCAGAGAGGAAGGCATGGGGTGGGCCCTAGCCCTGCTTCTAGCATTCCTGCCTCCTGGTGAGTGTGCGGCATACGGAGAGGCTCACAGGTTTTGTTTTCTTCTTTTGTAAATGGTGCCATACTAAGGAATGCCTCATTATATTTTGTGTTGTTTCATTGCAGTCAGTCAGATGTCTTCCAACTTTGAAGGGAGAACGAAGTTAGTCACCGGGCGGACTGGGTCATCTGCTGTAATCACCTGTGATCTTCCTGTAGAAAATACCAGATACATCCACTGGTACTTCCACCATGAGGGGAAGGCCCCACAGCGTCTTCTGTACTGTGACACCTACCAGTCCAAGGCTGTGTTGGATTTAGGAATCAGTCCAGGAAAGAAGGATAATTATCTAATCTTGAAGGGGAGCTGGAAATTGGTACTGCAAAATCTAATTGAAAATGATTCTGGGGTCTATTACTGTGCCGCCTGGGACAGGCACAGTGGTTCAGACCTGCCCTACACCACACTGAAATCTGCCTTGTGGCTGCTTAGCTGCCCCTCTCATTTCCTGCCACTGAATTTACTGTATTCTGTACAAAGAGAAACACAGCTTCACTCCCGATCTCCCCCTCATATCACACTCCCCTGGCCGCAGCTGCACCTGTTCCCCACCCCTCCCCAGGACCTTCCTGAAGAGCAGGCTGCCGTCTCCAGGCCTCAGCTAAGCAGCCTGCCTGAGAGCAAGGTTCCCTCAGCTCTCCTGGGACACGGCGGAGGCCCACTCACTCTGCTTCCTATACAGGGACACCTAGGGTCCAGCTGTGAAACCAGATATTTTGCACAGCAAATGGGAAGGGTATTTATACTGAATCATGTATCCAACCACGGTCCAGATATGGCAGGTTAGAGTGGTGCTCACCTCTTATAACAATATGAACAATACTATAATTCCCACGAAATCACTAGGCCTAGATATGCTGTTGAACATTCTCTCCCTCTGCCGTCCTTTTTTCTCTCTTTCTTGCCTACTTACTATTTTTCTACACCTCTCTTCCCCTGTCCTCCCTAGCTCCCTCCCTAGCTTGCTTCCTCCCTTCCTCTCTCCTTTCCTCCCTTCCTCTCTTCCTCCTTTCCTTCCTTTTTTCTCCCCTTCTTTTTTGGGCACACGAATACTTTTTCAACGAAGTCACTGGAATAATTCTGTATATGTTCACGGCAACATTGATACACCTGGTTAATTTGTTCAGTTTTCATTTTTATATTTTGGAAATTCGTTGTGTTGTTGTGATTTGTATACCTAGAACACTGACATGAAACTGAAGTCAAAATTATAAAACAAGTTAGATTTAGAGATGTTAGCTTCTATTCTAAAATTCTCTTTTTTCTCTCACACCCTATAGGTAACAATATCTTTATCAGTTCAGGTGAACTTTTTCACTGTTTCTTATTCACTCAGAAGTCTATCACTATTACGGAAATACATTATTCTGTTTGTCATATGTGCATTATGCATTGTTTCTATTTGAATGTCATTTTTTTTTGCTCTGATAATTGGTTTTTATACATTTTAATCAATCTTTGATTTTCTGGTGTCTGGATTTTGTGTCTTGCTTCGAAAGGTGAACATACTTTAGAAATATGCATAAAGAAATTCATTTCGTTAATATTTTATTTATTTTTACTTGATATTGATATCATGATCCATCAGGAGGTTTTATACGATAATTACTGTAGTAATAATAACAATGCTGATGGTAAATATGGTACTGACTTTAAGGAAGTTACTAAGCACATTACATGTATACTGTACTGAGTCTTACAGAAACCTTATTGACAGGCTATAGGACCCTTGAATATAGTAGATGAAAAATTGAGGGGTTACCTAACATTCCCTAAGCCATATATTTTAATTGATAGCAATTTCAATGGAAGCCCTGGGGTTTGGCAAATGAGATTCGTTCAATTTGCATTTTCTGATCTTTATGAATACTAGCAGTATTTTACAATGTTGTAAGCCATTTATACTTCTTTTGTGAACTGCCTTTTCACACTCTTTGCCTATTCTGTTGAGGTATTCAGTTTTTCTTAGTTGTTGGTAAGAATTAATATACACCATTTTAGAGAGAGTGATCCTTTATCAATTATGTTGAAAATTAAAGTATTTTTCCTCATTTACTATTATTTATATGCAGCATCTTTTGATGAACTGAACTTTGTAAATTAATTTTAATAAAATCTGTCAATTTTTCAACCAAATGGAGAGAAAAAAACCAAATAAATAAAAAGCAGGAGTTGCAATTCTTGCCTCTAATAAAATAGATTTTAAAGCAACAAAGATCGAAAGAGGCAAAGAAGGTCATTACATAATTGTAAAAGGATCAACGCAACAAGAAGAGCTAACGATCCTAAATACATATGCACCCAATACAGGAGCACCCAGATACATAAGACTTATCAAGGGACTTAGACTCCCACACAATAATAGTGGGAGACTTCAACATCAATATCAGATAGATCAACGAGATAGAAAACTAATAAAGATATCCAGGACTTGAACTCAGATCCGGAACAAGTAAACTTAATAAACATTTATAGAACTCTCCACTTTAAATACACAGAATATACACTCTTATCAGTACCACGTCACACCTACTCACAGGTTTAAATGAAATATTGGTTGGCTGCTTGTTTGTTATTTTCTTCCCTCATTTTTTCCTGTCTCCATTATTAAGCACAATTATTGGCATAAAAGAGGTCTTCAATACTCATTTTTAGACTGCATTCTAGCCTGGGCAATAAAACAAGACTCCCGTTCTCTCTCCCTCTTCCTCTTTCTTCCTCTCCTTCATTCTTTTTTCTTTCTTCCTCTTTTTTCTCCAAAAACAAACAAACCCCCACCCCTCCCACCCCCGGCAAACTGAATTCAACAACAGATTAAAAAGATACTTTTGGGTTTTACCCTAGGGATGCAAGCGTGGTTCAACATAAAAAAGATAAAAAAGAAAGTCTTCTGATTTTTCTAGGGTCTCTATTACGACGTCAGGCTCAGAGAGACCAGTGTCACCTATTAGTTTGCAATTCATCATCATTTAAGTCTAATGATTTCCTGCTTTCAGTTTTATTACAACTGAATCTCTGTAACTTTTAAGTTAGCAGCCTGACAATATGTGTTTCCATATGGTAAGTCGATTCCCCAAGGAGACATATTAAATAATCAAGTATTTCCTTGTGGATATTAGCAAACAACTTTATGCCATGATAAAATACTACATTGCTGTGGCTCTTTCTGGCCTTTCCCCGTGTTGCATGAATATTTTCATTCTAGTGCCAGTATTGCCCTCAGCCCGGGAGCTTTGAGATTTATTTTACATTCCCGTGGAGTTTGTTTTCTTATTACTTTCTTTGTTTTAAGGATTTTCTGTGCATTCTAATGTGATGGCAATTCCCTCCCTTCTCATTTTTCAACCGCGAGAGTTCTGTCCTACCCAGGATATTCAGGCTCCAAGGCAGGTGAGCTTCCCTCCTCTACAAGGACCCTAACAACTCAGCTTTGAGCTGCTCCTGCGGCAGCCTAATGTCCTGCACGTGTGGCCCAGAGGCAGATGGAGACCACCTGGAGCCGCCCGCCTTTCTCATTCCCAGCTGGGATGACAGCAGAAACTGAATTCTCTGAGCTAGGCCAACACAGCAACCGAGAGGGACATAGTTATTCTGCATATTTTAAACATGCATCTAAGCATATTTGTTATAGAGGAGGTGAAAATCCGTGTGCACTACTGGATTCTCACGATTGTTTTACTGGACTTGTTTTATCATCTGTATCTCCATCTAGGAATCCAGGCCCACTGCAGATACCAGTCAGCTTTCTGAGAGTACGGTGGCTAAATTAACACGCAATACCCAGGAAATTTGGAAGTTCAGGTGGTAAGTTTTTAGTTTAAGTATGTCCCAAATATTGCAGGACATGGCACCCTGTACTACTTAAAAAAACTCACACTTTTACTTCAATGGACAGAAATCCTCTAATAAGGCGATCACACACCTGTGCACAGTCCCCACCCCACACAAACTCCCACAGATGACACAAACACCCACCCCACCCCCCACACACCCATTTACCTTAGAGGGAAGTCCAAGACCCACCAATCTGCCTGACCCTCAGTCCCTTTAATAAAGCAGGTTCAGGCCTTCTCAGAGTGCCCATGGGTGTTGATCCAGTGTCCTTGCAGATGTGAAAAGGAAGGCGGTTCAGGGCCCTAATCAGAAACTTCCTGCAGAATGAGGCCCTGGCAGCGGCCTTACCTTCAGGGCAAGTGCAGGGTGTGAGCCTGCTGTGGACTGGCCCTTCCAAGGGCTGGGCCTGTTAACTCCAGAGTCAGCTTCCCCCACGTCTGCACTCCCTCCTATGCAGACCTGAGCTCTCTGCCCCTGGCTCTCTTCTGCAGAGGGCCTGCTCTCAGCTGCCACAGGAGGGCGCTGGAGAACGGGCCTGAGCAGAGAGGCAGGAGCTCCTCTGCAGGTCCTCCCAGGCACCACCCCTTCTGGGAGGAAGGCTTGGGAGTCCCCTAAGACAGATCATCAGTCAGTTCTCTCTGCCTGTGACTCTGGAAGACCAGCTCCCGTTCCTGCCTTCTGTGCTAGGGATCACTTCCTCTTCGAGTGGGACCTGAGTTTTGAGAGGGTTTTCTGTTCCTCTTCATCTGGTCCCTTTCCTTCCAAGGCCCAGGAGAGGAAGGCATGGGGTGGGCCCTAGCCCTGCTTCTAGCTTTGCTGCCTGCTGGTGAGTGTGCTACCTACAGAGAGGCTCACAGGTTCCATTTTGTTTTGTTTTGTTTATTTTCTTCTTTTGCGAGGGGAGCCATACTAAGAAATGCCTCGTTGTATTTTGTGTTTTTGCCAATGCAGCCAGTCAGAAATGTTCCAACTTAGAAGGGAGAACGAAGTCAGTCACCGTGCCGAGTGGGTCATCTGCTGTAATCACCTGTGATCTTCCTAAACAAAGTACCGTCTACTACATCCACTGGTACCTCCACCAGGAGCGGAATGTTCCACAGCATCTTCTGCTGTACCATGACCCCTCCACATCCAAGGTTGTGGTGGAATCAGGAATCAGTCCAGGAAAGGATGATACTTAGGCAAGCACAAGGAGAAGCTCAAATTTGATACTGAAAAATCTAATTGAAAATGATTCTGGGGTCTCTTACTGCCACCTGGGGACAGGCACAGGGGTTCAGACCTGCCTACGCCACACTGAAATCTGCCTTGTGGCTGCTTGTGGTACAAAACATAGAGCTGTCCCCTCTCATTTCCTGCCACCGAATTTGCTGTACTCTGTACAAAGAGAAACACAGCTTCACTCCTGATCTCCCCCTAATATCACACTCCCCTGGGAGCAACTGCACCCTATTCCCCACCCCTCCCCCATGAGTTACCTAAACACCAAAGCACAATCTCCCAGCTGTGTCAGCCAAGCACCCTGGCTAACAGCAAAATTCTTTCAGCTCTTCTAGGGGCTGGTGGAGGCCATTCCTCTGCTTCCTAAGACAGACAAGTTCCTCAAGGGCTGATCTCTAGAGGGATACATTTAGGAAAATAAATGGGAACTGCACTCAGGCATTTACCCAATTACTGTCTATAGATCATGGCTGAAATGGTGCTTATTCACGGCTCAGGAGAAATGTTGGAATAACAGCTTTGCACTTCAGTGAGACATCTAACGTGTATCAGATTCGCTGTCTTTTGGACAAACTGATATTTTCCTCTACATGTCAAATCATGGTACTATTGGTCTGCGTGAGAATGGGTAAAAAAGTGATTGCCATAGATAGGCCAACCTGAGTCATATCATAAGTTTCAACCATTTCAAGCATCCCTGCCATAATGCCAGTATCTGACGGTTCTGACCCTTGCCCTGCAGCAGAAATCATTCCCTCTTCCCTCTGGGTATTAGACTGATAATTGGGATCAGTCTCATCATGGGCCATTGGGGAAGATTACAGCTCGGCTGAGAGATAAAAAAAGATCATCCACTCAAGGAGTTCACACGTCCTGGCCAACACGGAGCACATGCCTAGAAGTAGATTTGGTGGGTGCCCAATGATGGGTTGTGAAATGCAAGCCTGAAGAGGCAGAGTTTAATTCTACAGGGGTACTTCCACAACGTAGTGCCCTGACAGGGCTCCTGGTGTTGGTCCTTTGACACTCCTGGGATGGCTCCCTGGAAACATGGAGGAAACCTTGGTCAAATGACATGATATAGAGGTGTCAGAACTGCTGGTACAGAGTCATAGAGGAAGGCTTAAAAGGCTTATGAGAGGTGGGCATGCTAGAGAGGACTTTCCTACTAAGCCTGAGAACTCACTGGATGACTGTATTCCCTGTGAGAGCCCAGAGAACCCTCCAAATTATGAAGACAAGGCAAGTTCTGAAATGGGAGGCATCAGCATTTTTGAGAGTCTCCAAGGATGCTGTGCCCTGTGGAGCAGGGTTGATTATAGGAGATGCTGTTAAGGGATTAGCTCCCAGGGTCAATGGAGATGATGTGATTTCAAAATTAGAGTCCAAATGTGCAGAATCAGTGTAAGAAGAAGTAAAGCCAGAAAGGCAGCCAAGGAGCCCTGCTCTACAGAAATCTGGGATGACAACTAATAAACCATAGTGTTCCCACAGCTAAGGAAATTGCGCTACCACGATGGTATTCCACATATATATTCCATATGTACATCTATACTATATATATGTAACCATAACAAATCAAGAGAAGATGAGCAAAAGAATGATGTCAGCTGCCGCTGTTCTCCAACCCAGAGTCCTTTGAATGAAGGGGAAGGCAGATTGCCTTGAGGGAAAACCTTATAATGTTCTAGAAAGTATATATGGTAGTGATTCTCCCTGCCTTTTCCCCCAAAAGATCGGAGACCAATTACCTAAGAAATTTGTACACCTAGGAAGTGAAGTAACCAGGTCTTTCAAGGCTGGTGGAGACAGCATCTGAGCTAATTTTGATACCAGAAAACCCATATTGTCCATGTGGTCCCCCCTTTAGAGTGAGGACACATAGAAGCTCCTGCTCTAATGTTAGTGTTAAAGGCCCAGGTCTATCCCAAAGTGTGGTCCAATAGGTGGATGGACTGACTGTGGCCACTACCCTGTGTTTGAGAATGTGAGAGTGGATATGATGAACGGACATGAAATGAGGAGGCTGCCCCCGCCCCCGGGTAGTCCAGGTGACCGTCATTCCTTTATTTCATTTGGAATCCATGTGGCTTGTTCTCTTTCACTGACTGGAACTCACACTCTGGCTATTGTAATCTGTTTTAGATCTTTTTCTCCTGAAAATGTCTTGGCTTTGAGACATGTCTTAGAAAATGACTCTGCCTATCTCAAAATGTAGTCCTTCAGTCTCATTGATGAATTAGAGGCAACTGGCCAGTCTAAAGAATGAGAACATAATTATAAATGAGGAAACAGCAGAAGAAAAAAGGGACGCAACACTTACCCCGCAGAATTAATTTTCATTTAGAAAATGTCACAGCTGATATGCAGGAATGAGATTAAACAAGTGTGGTCATGAGAAGAGAGATTGTACTAATCTACATTCTCATCAGCAGTGTGTAAGCATTCCCTTGAAAAGGCATTTACATTCAGCTTATACTTCAAAGAATTTTTTTTTTCTGCACATAAAGTGGCAGAGGGGTTTCCTGTCTGGTGTTGGAGGATCAATAGTAACACAGGCTTTCCTTTTCTTTTTCTTTCATTTTTTTCTGTTAAAGAAAACTGCATTACATGGAGGTAGCGGGCATAGTGTTCTTATTTATATGGCTTTGCTTTAATACAAAAATCATAGTCATAATTTAGTAGACATTGGGCTAAACATCTTCATTTGTCAGATGGGAGAACGAAAGTCTCGAGAAGCTGGGAATACACAGATGTTCCACACGGGGGCGGTGTTCAAGGAGAAGCGGACGGCAAAGTCCCAGTGTCTCATCCCGGGAGTATTGATTGCATCAATCACTCTGCCACGATGCCCGTCTGCTCACGTCGGTTCCTGCGCACCTGCCCGTGGAGGAAAATACTGAGAAGCAGCCAATCTTGTTTCCTTTGCTTCCAATTGCTGACTCTATTGCAAAATGGTAACAGTCCCAGGGGCAAGAGGTTGGAAGCTGGAAACAGGAATAGGCTTCCAGTCCCAGCTTTTCAACCATTTTGTGGTAAATCTCAGAAAATCCTCCACCCTTGAAATCTCTTGCAAAATATTTTAGTTGTGCATTCTTCAGGGGAGATGGTCAGATTCCTAAATGATCAGTCTCTAACAGTACTGTCCATTAGAAATAAATATGAGTCACCCATGTGAATCACACACTTAAATTCTTCTAGTTGCCGCATTTAACAAAAGCAAAGAGAAATAGATAAAATTAATTTTAGTCCAACTAAATGGACTCCTGAACCCACTAGTCCATGTGGCTAGTGGTGTTGGATTCAGGAAATTTCTCAAAGAACTAAAAATAGAAATACTCAATCCAGCAACCCCATGACTGGATATCCACCCAAAGAAAAAGAAATTATTATATTAGACCGCACTCATATATTATTGCAGCACTGTTCATAACAGCAAAACTGGAATCAACCTAAATGTCCATCGGTGGATGACTGGATAAAGAAAATGTGGTACACACACACACACACACACACACACACAATGGAATACTATTCATTCATAAAAAAAGAATGAAATCCTGTTTTTGCAGAAACATGCAGGAAACTGGAGGCTATAATCTAAAGTGAAACAACTTAGAAATAGACAAATCCTGGATGTTCTCACTTATAAGTGGAAGCTAAATAATGTGGACAGAGGGTGTGGAACGAGACTTTGGTGGCTCATAAGGGTGGCAGGGGGCAGAAGGAGTACAGACAGAAATTAAGTAATTTCATATCATGATGCATATTATCCAGGTGTGGGGTACACTAAGAGCCAAGACTTTACCACTATGCATACGATGTGTAACAAAATTGCATTTGTACTCCTTATATTTATGCAAATAAAAAACAAAACACCGCTCCAATGGGAGACTGAAAGTTTATGTATGACTTGATGACATCAACGAAAAGGATGAATAAATGTAAGGTCCAAACCATCCTGAAGAAGCTCATGTCCCTTCACTCATCCTAAGTCCATCACACTCCTTCACTCACCGGCCACCTCCCTCAACTTCTGTTCACTCCTTCACTCACCGGCCACCTCCCTCAACTTCTGTTTTTGTGCCTGAGATTGATAATTAAGACACGCCTTCCTCCTGAAGCAGCCCAGCGTCTCCAGCTCTACTGAAGGCTGAAGTCAAGCCTAAGGGCTTCCAGCTTGTCAGAAGGACAGGGGCAGTAGAGGAGTAAACTTTCATTCTGTTTTGGGAATTTTCCTTCATTTCCTTTTTCTAATTGTGCTGATAAAACCGAATGGGCACAGAGAGAAGATAACCCCTCCCCTTCCTGCCCCCTCTCTCAGCGCTTGACTCCAAACAAGAGGAAATTTGGTGAAATGGTGATTATTGAGGTGTGGCCAAAGGTCCACAAGCTCCCCAGGCACCTCCTTACAGAACAACATCTTTCATTTCCTCAAGAGGAGACTCTTCTGCTGCAGTGAACTTCACCATCACAAACCTCCAGCTTCACTCCTCACCACACCTGCTCTACTCTTCATGAGTGCTGTGACCTTGAGCGAGGTCTTAAATTTCCTAGCCGTCATCTCCAAAATGGAGGAAATGGCAGTGTCCAAAATTTATCTCCCTCTGAATTATACCACGTGGTTTCAGCCTCAACCTCCAGGGTGATAGACGAGCTTAGAGACCAAGATCGTATCCCTCTTAAGTGGTATCACCTTCGGGGTCATCATCACCAGACTTCTCAACTGTTATTTCTTAGAAATGATCCCAAGTTCTTTCCCTCTCATCATCACTTGCACTGGGGAGCCTTCCAGCTAGTCTGTCTCAGCAAGACAAGAGCATGGCTGGTGCATCACTGCTGGTGACCTGCGGCAAGTTCACAGAAGGCACTGTGACAAAGTGGAAGTTTCCAAGGGCTTGGTCCATGTCAGGCACTGCCCTAAGCACTCTACCTGGGCTAACGTTTATTCTTCACAACATCCGGTAAGGTAGGGCATGATTTTATTCTCATTCGGTAGATGAGAAAACAGAGGCAGGAAGAGCTATTCGAAGAGCTCAGGCTTTGCAGCCGGACAGAGTGAATCCTAAATCTGTCACCAAGGTGTAATAAGCGTTAAACCTTGACCCATTCCCTGACCTGCTCCTGCTTTAAGCGGGGCCTTGTGAAGATTATACTAAATTTATGGGATTAAATATGATAGTGGCTACAAAGTTCTTGACACATTACAGGCATTCAGTACGTGTCCATTGCTTGGTAACTCTTTAAAACTGTATTTGAGGCCGGGCGCGGTGGCTCACGCCTGTAATCCCAGCACTTTGGGAGGCCGAGGCGGGTGGATCACGAGGTCAAGAGATCGAGACCATCCTGGTCACCATGGTGAAACCCCGTCTCTACTAAAAATACAAAAAATTAGCTGGGCGTGGTGGCGCGTGCCTGTAATCCCAGCCACTCGGGAGGCTGAGGCAGGAGAATTGCCTTAACCCAGGAGGTGGAGGTTGCGGTGAGCCGAGATCGCGCCATTGCACTCCAGCCTGGGTAACAAGAGCAAAAACTCCGTCTCAAAAAAAAAAAAAAAAAAAAAAAAAAAAAAACAAAAAACTGTATTTGAAATGGTCTTTTGTTAATATCCGAACAACAAATAAATAGCACAATGGCCGTCCATTCCCTCGCTCCTTCAGTCTTTCATCTATTCAACAAGCAACTGGGATTAGAGCGATGAACAGCACCCGATCTTACTCCCCTGGGAGCTCTAACTGGAGTCTGGCAGGAGAGAGACGTGGGCTAACAGGCCAAGGCTTGGGCAGGAAGGAGGTGCTAGGAGACAGGCAGGCACTAGGTGGCGCCAACAGAAAGCAATTTGAAGCATCTCCATCCCGGACTCATGGGTGAGGGAAGCTTCCCGGGAAGACTGCCTGAGGCTGAGCCCAAAAGGACGAACGGGAATTAGCCAGGACACGTGGAGTAGACAGCAGTCCAGACAACAAATTGCAAGTCAACCCATAGACGTGGATCGTGGAATTCTAGGCAGACAGTGACTGAGTGAAGATGGAGGGACGGGGTGGTAGCACATCAGAGAGAGCCTCTTATCCTAAGAACTCTGGACTTCATCTTCCCAGGCAGGCAGAAGCAAGGGAGGAGTTTAGAGTGGGGAGATGACGTGACCGGGCCAGTCTAGTGGGCATGGGGAAGGTGGGTGGGAGGGGCCGAGATGGGACGCAGGGAGGTGCATGAGGTGGAGGCAGGGGTGAGCCAGGAAATGTTTAGGACGTAGCATCCTCAGGAATTGGAGTGTGGTAAAGTACCTAGAGGGGGCAATTGAGGCTGATGCTCAGGTTCCCGGCTTGGGCAATGTGGGAGCTCGGAAGAAGTTATGGGTTGGGGGAAGGGAATGGGTTCACTCTGGCTATGAGCAGACTTGGTTTGAGGTCTCATGTCAGACGTACTTGAAAATGTCCAAGAGTTAGCTGGATATGGGAACAGATAGCTTTTGATTTAACTGAGGTGCAACTTAAGAAAGATATTTTCTACTTTATGATGGTGCAAAAGCGGCACGGATTTGATAGAAAACATAACTTGACTTTTGATCTTTCTCCAGGACAGTGATACAAGGTTATGATACTCTCTTGCAATGCTGGGCTGTCCAGTGAGCTGCAGCTCCCAGTGGGTAAATTAAGAATGGAAATCTGGAGCACAGCAGCTTTTAAACGGTGCATTGGGGACGTTCAGTTTGTAACAATATGCTGGGACAGATGAAACTGTCTTGGGTTAGAGAAAGAACAACAGATGATAGGAAACTGTGTTGTCCAGAAGCTGGGATTCAGCAGACATGTATTATTCAGGTAGCTGAGGGAGGGGACACGAACCTGAACCTTCAACAGAAGCAAACTGGAATGGAGGGCCCAGCCCATGAAGGTGACCAGAAGGACCCCATGCTGCAGACTGCGTGGGTAGCTGGGCAGAGCTAAGCAGCTTGACAGACTAACGTCTCTCCAGCTGGTTGAAGACAAGCTCTCGGAAGACGGTGCTGCATGGCACAGCCCCTGACAACTTGCTGGGTGACCGCCGGGGGCTCCGAGGTGGCCGTCTGAACTATGTGGTCTGATCTCAGGCGGCAGGTCTTGTGGCGCTGCCTTCACACAGACTGGAAGTGCTAACAGGTGGCGAGGACACTGCTTTACAGTGATGCAGGAGGCCTCATGCCACCCTCACTCACGGGAAGTTTGACTTGGTGGACTCAGCCAAGTCACAGAGGTCTAACGCTTCTCCGTGGTGATTTCAGGCTGCCCTGGCAGAGAGCACGGTGCCTGCAGACATGTCACCGCTCCACGCATCAATGCTGGCAGTCCTTGGGGCTCGTAAGTAGTTTTGCTCCCCCAGTCCCTTTGGACTGATATTCTCTATTGTTATCTATTTTATAAATTCTGCATTCTTGGTTTATTTACTCCTCCCATTTTTCCCCCAGTGTGTGTATATGGTGCAGCTCACCTAGAGCAACCTCAAATTTCCAGTACTAAAACGCTGTCAAAAACAGCCCGCCTGGAATGTGTGGTGTATGGAGGAACAATTTCTGAGACATCTGTGTATTGGTACCGAGAAAGACCTGGTGAAGCCATCCAGCTCCTGGTGGACATTTCATCTGACGGCACTGTCAGAATGGAATCAGGCATTACATCAGGCAAATTTGAGGTGGATAGGATATCCGAAACGTCTACATCTACCCTCACCATTCACAATGTAGAGAAAAAAGACATAGGTACCTACTATTGTGCCTTCTGGGAGGCGCACAGCAGCCGACAGTTATAGCTATCTCATTCAAAAATGTTTATTGAGTCTTTATTTATAATTATGAAGTGGGAAGCCACAGTCACCGTCAGTGTGCTTGTAAACAGTCTCTAGATAAACATTCATGTGGTGACTCTATGTGGAGTCGCCAAAGTCTATATTTTCTCAAAGCAGAAGCTTTGCATAAGTCTATACAAGTGACCAGTCTCGTGTTTTACAAGATTCTACTCTCTCTCCGGCAGCTTTTCTAGGTCACCCATGTTTATTCATCTGGTTCAAACTCTCCTACTCACTATATTATTTTCTGGCATAACATACACACGTTTTTAGTGTGATTCTTTTGTATTAGTCAGCATGCATTACATCAGTTTTCTCCGATCTTTCTGTCTCTCTTGATTAAGAAATGGACATTACATTAAATGGCATTCATTTTTCTGGAGGTTAACATGTAACAAACACAGCATGATCTAACCATGAGCAATGACAGATGCAGCTCATGCATGCCTTGAGTGGTGATGTTTGATTTTAATTCATAAACACTTCGACTAATTGAATCTAAGTCAAAGTCTACTTTGGATCGGGGTTTGAGGAAAAAATCGTTTTCTGGCTTAAGATTTTATTTATCCAACAATGACTTTTTGATAGACTACTCTGAGCTGGGCATTACGCACGGCGGAAATGGCAAGGCCCGTAAGCTCTGCAAAGGCTCGAGTTTGCTTCTGTTAAACCCCTTTCTGCTACTGGGCTGCCATTCACCTCTAAAATGAAAGTCCTCAACTTGAGTATAACCCACGGTTGTAAATCTCTTACGAATTTCTGTTACTTCTAGTTCAACTTAGGTTTTGCAATTTATTATTATTGGTGGTGGTGTTTTAATTTATTGTTATTTTTTGCCATGAAACCCTTCCTTGAAATGTGATCTTACAAATATAAAATAGAGAAGAGTAGATTTCCACCAGCAAAGAGTTGAGGGATGAATGATTCTTAGTCTCTTCTTCTCAAATAGCTCTGATACTTTGATGCTTCAACAGCCCAATAATTATCCGAGTATGACGTATAATGTACAAAGTGGTCAAGGTCCAAATGGGACTCCCCTTACCACGGATGAGCTGTGTGGAAAGGCCTTTAGCGTCTCTAGCTCCGTTTCCTCTCCTGTGAAGCAAAGGTCCTGTAGTTACCATATGGGGTGGCTGTGAGAACTTCTGAGCTGATGTGTATAAAGGATTTGGCCCAGTGCTTGGCATATTGTGACAGCCCAGTGTTATCTGACAAGAAACAAAACCAGATTCAACAGACAAATAACAACAAGCACGCACATATAGTCTTGTGTCCCTTAATGACAGGAATATATCCTGAGTAATGCATCTCTTGGCAGTTTCCTTGTAGTGCAGATATTGTAAAGTGCCCTTAACACACACCTAGATGGTATAGCCTGCTACACACCGAGGATATGTGGTATAGCCTATTGCTTCTAGGCTACAAACCTGCACACCACGTGACTATGCTGAATACAATAAGCTATTGTAACGCCAATAAGTGTTTGTGTATCTAAGCACAGCACAGAAAAGGTATAGTAAAAATACAGTGTAAAAGAAAAAACCCGGCCGGGCGCGGTGGCTCAAGCTTGTAATCCCAGCACTTTGGGAGGCCGAGGCGGGTGGATCACGGAGTCAACAGATCGAGACCATCCTTGTCAACGTGGTGAAACCCCATCTCTACTAAAAATACAAAAAATTAGCTGGGCATGGTGGCGCATGCCTGTAATCCCAGGTACTCGGGAGGCTGAGGCAGGAGAATTGCCTGAACCCAGGAAGCAGAGGTTGCGGGGAGCCGAGGTCGTGCCATTGCACTCCAGCCTGGGCAAAACTCCGTCTCAAAAAAAGAAAAAGAAAAGAAAAAAGAAAAAATGCTACACACATATAGGGCAATTTTATTATAATTTGTCCATCTTTGACTGAAACATTATACAGTGCATGACTGTATATACAAGAAAACAGACACACACACACACGCACACACACACGCACACACACACGCACACACACACGCACGCACACACACGCACACGCACACGCACGCACACACGCACACACACACGCACACACACACACGCACACAGACACCCCTTTATATATCCAGGACTTAGCACTACATCTATCATAGTGTGGCTGTCACAGTTTGTAGAGAGAACAGGTAAATATGAAGAATCTCTTACAAGAGGTCTAACATTTTGGTCATGGATCCCTAAGGCCTTTGACTCACACACAGCTGGAGAGGACAGTGGCCTTGTGCATAGCTCAGACCCCCATTATGGGGATCCGAACGTATAGTCACGTACTCCTCCCCACGTCTCCTTCTGGCTAAGGTGAGCTTCACCGGGGACATTTTGGCCACACCAAAGGAAAACTAGCCAGAGGCAAAGCAGTTCTGTCAAAGCTAATATTTGCCAGTTAAATGGTTTAAATTTCTGACTCAGAGAAACACTGACAGCATCTTATTAGAATACACTGTACATATAGTAGGGGCTCAATGAATATCTGTTGAGTTGAGATTGAGATTTTCATTATTATGGAGGTGTTCATTTTACCTAATGGGTCAGGGGGTTGTATGAATGGATGCTGTGAATATTCTGATGATTTGGATTCAACCTATTTTCTCTTATACCTTAGGTGGGTGAGGCACAATGACTCTGGATGATAGAAGTAACATTATATTATCTAGTTAACATAAAATTTGAATAAAATCTAAGGAAATCTTGGAAAGCAATATTTTCATATACCATATCATTATCTTTATCTTCCTGGCTGATCCAGGAGAAAATTAGAAGAGAAAAATAATGGTTGCGGATTTCTGAGGAGACAAAGCAAGGTGAAGCCTCTTTTTTCCAGCGTGCACTGGCAAAAGCACCTCTCCAGCGTTGTGGTTTAGCTTGGATTCAAAAGCAGTTTGCCAGTAAAGATAAATGTCATGTACGTCATTTATAAAATATTGCTGCAATAAGCCATATATGAATGTTGCATACACTTTAGGGTTTGCATTTAATCCTGAAGCGGTCACCTCTTTTCATGTCTGTTTATACTCTTTTCCCATTTACTGAGCGGGGAGGGTCTCCTTATATAGTGCTTCATTGTTAAGTCAATACCTGTTGTTTCTGGGATGTTCTTTTTGTGCATTAAAAACTTCAAAATTAAAAACAAAAACAAAACTCCCCGCGCATACAGGTACTAAGGAAAAAGTCATGTCTGCTGCCGAGGAGTCACTGTATAGAAACCACAATTCTAGAAGTTGCTGTATCCACCTGAAAATCTTTGTGGACTGTTTTGTCTTGGGTGCTTTTTGCCTTCAGTCCTGTGAATGGGTTCACAAGAGGCAGCCTGGGGTAGGGAAAAAGGGCAGTTTGAAATGTTTATCTCCAGACATTCTGATCGTGAGTATTTTTAATTCATGTCATTGATGTACTTTTGAAATGGCCTAATAGAGAACCATTACTTTTGAATTTTATTTTAAAATTTACTTAAATAAATCATGTTTTATAATATTAAACATGTCTCTGCATATTACTGAACACCTAGAGACAATATGTAAAATTTGTTGGTTAGAATGGCCTGGAAGGGGCCTGCTTGATGGCTTTTTCTTTCCTCTTCTCTAACAACTTTTGCTGCTGCTGCTGCTGCTTCTTCTTCTTCTTCTTCTTCTTCTTCTTCTTCTTCTTCTTCTTCTTCTTCTTCTTCTTCTTCTTCTTGAGACAGTATCTGTCTCTGTCCCCCAGGATGGAGTGCAGTGGCACAATCTCAGCTCACTGCAACCTCCTCCTCCGGGGTTCAAGCAATTCTCCTGCCTCAGCCTCCCAAGTAGCTGGGACTACAGGTGCACGCCACCACGCCCAGCTAATTTTTTGTATTCTTAGTAGAGACGGGGTTTCACCACGTTAGCCAGGATGGTCTCGATCTCCCAACCTTGTGATCCTCCCACCTCAGCCTCCCAAAGTGAACTTTTGCTTCTTTTAAAAACGAAATCTTATCTTTTCTCCTGCTTCCTACTGATCACTCCGCTGAGTTAAAGAACATGTTGGTGATTTGAGTGCTCCAGGCAGCTTATTGGGCTTGCATGTCTCCGATGAGCACTAGGAATTTTGAGCCTATAGATCCAAGGTCTTGGGGAAAAATAAACAACTTTTTTCAGTGAGTTAATTGATATAGAAGAGAATGGCCACTCCCACCCACACCTTTTGGATCCTGGGCATCAGCTGTGGGGTAAATGGCCCTGTATATTGGCCAGTGGAGGAGGACGCAGTCAACTCAGGCCCCTTGTCAGGGAGAGAATGCTGACCCCACTCTCCTATTTCCCAGCTGCCTGCTGGTACACAAACACCACCTGCAGGATAAGGAAGACCATCCGTGCAGCCCAGCACGGTCAGACTTTTAAGGCAGAGTCAGGTGGAAAATGGACTTGGATGAGCAAAGGAGGAAATCATGCAGATGGCCCAGTAAGTGGGTTATGTTTGACGCCAAATAAATAAGACGAGCTAAAGAGCAAGAAGGTTTTATCTAGTTTCGTTTCACTTTCCACAAAACCATGGAGATCTCATCTCCAACAGAACAGATGTATGACTGTTCCCTGAGTGAAAAAACAGGAAACTGGACAAATCTTTTGAGACCAAAGATCATCATTAATCAGTACTTCTTTAGATGATTTCTTTTTCAGATGTTTTATGTGACTTCGTCAGTTTATTTGAAGTTGTTCATAGCATACTATGCTGAAAGTATTTACAACTAAACTTAAACAAGTACAAGTCAGAGCAACAAAAGACTATGAATTTACTTCTGTCAAATGATCTAATTATATTCCATGGAATTTCCCTTCCACTGAGACATTTATCAGCTAAAGTATTTACTGAACCTCAGCATAGACACACTGTATTTCAGCTTAAAATGTTTGTTGGGGGAGGAGGATGAAGTAAAAGTGCAATCATTGCTTGAGAAATGTTATTTCACTCATTGGTTA